CCCTTAGCTGCCACATTGACTCTGTGAAAACAAGATTCCTGAAGGACGGACTACTGAGTTCTTCCATTCCTTTGCATGCTGTCGCCCCCTGAATTCTTTGGTGATCTGTTCCCTGTGAAACATCGGCTGCCGTTCGTGTATCTTGGACGTTCTTCTAGGCCCAGATTGGAGTTGGTTCCTCGTGCACCTGGGTATTCCGCTGAGAAACAGGCTTGACCGAATTATGCCACTCTTTCCATCTTAAAACCTGCCCATTCAGCCATGCCTGCCCCCTACCAACCAGACACGTATGAATTTGGCAAGTGTCACCTGTTATGTCTCCGGACTGTTTTGCATCCACAGTTTGACCTTCCTCCAATGACACAGGATTTCCGCTTCAATCATCTCTTTGGTTGCTGCTCACACTCTCTCACGTGGATTCTTCGTGCCGTCCAGAGTTCTGCTGCATCTCTCTTTCCATACTGCCCAGAGTGTGACCTTGCGTACCATACCGAACCAGATTTTCTCCGACTTGTCAAGGTTAGCGGGTAAGTTAGTCCAGAGGAGCAGTTGAAGGGGGTGTTCTGAGAGGGGAGACGAGAATAGACTGTCCCACAGGGCTGCTGCTCTTGCCCAATAATCTGTAGCTTCTTTGCAGTTAATCAGGCAGTGTATCAAATCTTCCTGTTCTTGGTCTGAGCAAACCGTGCAGACATCCGTGCTGGTTGGGTCGTTCTTTCTTCTTCTAACATGTAACCACTGGTTAACCGGTAGAGCAACGTACATTATGAGCCACTGCATGCTTCTGATTTTTATGGGTCTAATCGTTTTATATTTCTTCCATGGAATTTTTGCTATTAGGTCTGCCTCATAACCAATTAGCTTGCACCATCTTCCTTTGATGATTGGGTCTGGGTCCTTTGTTTTTAACAGCATTTTATAACCTAGCTTAACTGTGTAATCAGAAATTGGGATTGGTGGTTTAGTAGCTCTGTTTCGGTCGGAGGGCCAATCCCATTCTGAGGGGTCAAACTCGAGGTCTTGAATTGGTGTCCTTATTTGAAATATCTGTTTTGGCCAGAGTCCTAGAGCTCTTATTTTACGGAGCATAAACGCATTCAGCACTACTCTTTCTGGGTTGATATTCTGGATGTACAGATCATCAGGCTTGGTCTCCAGGATCGGGAAAGATGTGAAGACATCTCTTGGACCTGAACCTGAGATTCGATGGGAAAATTGGTAAGCCCTATCATGGGAGGTCTCTTGGATTAAGATTCCCCACTCACCCGCTTTCCACGTGAATTCCTCCTTTAGTAGCTCAACCCAGCCCCCAGGGATGCTCTGTATAATCTTTTGCAGGTTTTCTTCCCTGTGGGGGCAGCCTTTCAGTCGAGCTCTGATCTCGTTTTCGTCCAACCAGTTTTTCCTCTCCTCATTCCAGATGTCCCCTACTCGCCAGACCCCTTGTGTGATCCACGATAGCCATCTGTTGCCTCTGGCGGAGAGTGCCCACGGGTGGTCTCCCTCATCTCTGATCCAAGGGTTCCCAGAGAGAGGCTGCCTGAGTACTTCCTCTTTGGACCTGGGTTTGTTTCGTTTCTTGGGCATGATCTCTCTCCAGATACGTATAAGGGTCGTCCAATAGGGGGGAGGTGTCTGGTGCGAAATTGGGGGGGCGCGGCTTCTATGTCTTCTCCTCCCTGATCTTGGATTCCTGTCTTTGTTCATGACCCAGAACAGTCCGGACATGTTAGTGGGGGACTCCGTTGGGGCCAGATTTCTGATGCTGTCTTGTGCTAATTTCTTCCACGGCAATGATTGTTTGGTCAGTATCTTAATGACCCACTTGATTTGCAGGGCTTTCGTTTCTTGTTTGGGGTCATCAATAATGCCTAGTCCCCCCTGTGATGGTTTCCTTGTGAGATAGTGCCAGGCTATCTTTGGAATGTAGTTCTCTTTGTTAGGGTTCGCTGCCCATAAGTAGGCTCTGGCTTTCTTGTTTAGGTCTTTGATGGTCTGGTCTGGTATAGTCCAAATTGAGGCTATGTACCACATCATTGAGAAATGGAGGTGTTAATGGCAAGTGCCCTCCCCAATAGTGATGTAATGCTTGATTCCACTTCCCCATTTTGTTGATTTGACCGGCTAGGAGATTCTGTGCCATCTGGGGAGCGGGGCCGCCTTTTGTCACTTGAATCCCCAAATATCTCGTTGGTTCCTTCGGTTTCTCCCAAGACATCTGATTCTCTGGACCTTGATGGGTTCGTCGGATAGCCACCACCCTATAGTCTTTACCCAATTAATCTTCATTTCTTATGCTAGTCTAAACGCTTCCATTGCTCTGACTAAGGCTGCCATGGACGAATTGGAGGCCTGTATCAGCACCGTTAAGTCATCTGCGAACATGATTATTGTAGGAAATGCGACATGGTGTGAGGAGCCCACATTCATTTCAGGCGGTCTTTGGATAGAAGGGTCTTTACGGAGGAAAGAAGCTATGGCTTCCATAACGAATAAGAAAATAGGTGGTGCTAGTGGATCGCCTTGTCTTACCGACCTGGAGATTGGGTAACCTTCACACAGCAGACCGTTGATCTGGATGCAACCAGAGGCATTGTTGTATAAGACTCGCACCCACTTCTTTCCATACTTGCCTCGAGGAAATCCCAATTTACCTGGTCGTAGGCTTTTTCAAAATCGAAAAAAAGGATCGCTGTGCTGATTTTTTTTTCCATCACTTTCTTGGAAACCTCGTTGAGGGTCATTACATTATCCAGGATGTACCTACCTGGTAAAAAACCCGGCTGGTCTATGTGGAAGCATTTGTCTGTCACGTCTAGTATGCGGAAGGCTAGGGCCTTGGCAAGTATTTTGTAGGGAAGTGTAAGTAAGGATATAGGTCTGTAGTTTTTTATGTTTTCTTGGTCACCCTTCTTATAAAGAAGTGTAATCACACTGGTACTGAGAAGTTCGCCCATACCCTCATTTTCCCAGCTGTCGTTATAGAAATTTGTAAGGTTCGATCCCAGTAGGGGCCAAAATTTTCTCCCAAAATTCCGTTGTCAGTCCGTTGATGCCCGGGGTCTTGTTGTTGTTCATGTTCTGGACTGCTAATTGAAGCTCTTCTATGGATAGTGGTTTATCCAATTTGCTTGCTTGCTCATCAAATATCGTTCTGTCTAGGTATTGTAGCATTTTGGATCTGGCCGCTCGAGTGTTGGGGGGGGCGGGGGGTTGTTGGTGTTTTAGATCGATACAGTTCTTCATAGAAATTCTTTGCGATCTCTAGCATCCCTTCACTGTCTGTGCAGGTTGCCTGTTGCCCTGATAACTTCTTGAGAGAGGTGCTTTCCTTAAGCAGAAAGGGGAAACTTGTTTTAGTTTGTTTAGATTGCAGTGATGCCACAAATTCGAGATCTAATGGCGCTATGTAACGACTACTAACTATTATAGCAACTTCCATGGTGTCTGAATCCTTCATCATTGTTTTTTTTCCATTTTCTTGGCCTGATGCTGGATTCTTTCTTCTGGAGGTGGGAAAAATACTCTACGCAGTAGAAGTTCACTTCATCCAACAGCCCCTGAAAAAATACAAAATGACCCACCATCCCCATCTGCAATGTTAAATTCATAAATGTTTTGAACTGTGTTGCTTTTTGTACGCATAGGCGGCACGCACGAGTACACATATGCGTACATGTGTGCAACCCTGGCCCCGAATGCCTGCACACTACTTTTTTAATTTGCTTTGTTTTTTCATTATTTAGCACTTGAGCAGGGTGGTGACGAATGGCATAGGATTTACAGCTTTTTTTTTTTTTTTTTTTTTTTTTTTTTTTTGAGACGATGCTCCAATCTATTCGTGGGGAGCAACATGGCTGGGAACCAGGCCCAGCGTCCCTTATCAGAATACAAAAATGAGCTGCCGGGGCCATTACCCAGGTTTGGCTAAGAACAATTGAAGAAAAAGGAAGAACTCAGAAACATTCATGGTCCATTACTCAAACTCTACCAAGTCACTAGAATATGTGTGTCAAAAAGCCTCTCAACCACGAATCAGATAGGTGAAACCTATTCAATCCAACTACGACTACCAGCAGCATGGCTGTTTTCGGCACAAACCGAAGCTCCTCCAGGCCTCATTCTCCCATCGGGCTAGGTTACAGAGTTGCACCAGCTTGATCCAGCACCGGCCAGCATTGCTCCAGATACGACCCCCGATGACCACTTAGACTGCCCCCGCAAACAGCCCCCCAGGTCTCTCTACCAGGCCTCACGCCCCCACTAAGCTAGGTCACAGAGTTGCGCCACCTGGCTCCGGCTCCGGTCAGCGTTGCTCCAGCATCGGTCTTCGAGGGCCACCAAATTTTCAACCACCCTTCGCAGGATCATAGATGAATTGCCAGATAGCACCTATTCCTACAACCTCCTCGAGAGACAAACCAAATGGGAAAAAATACTAAACTGGATGTTAGGGTTCTTCGAGAGAGATCACCCCTCCCTACCCCTACCCCTCCCCCCTCAGCCCTACACTGCCTCCGCTGAAGGTGCCAACCCCCGTTCCCCACCCAATTGCGCACGCAACCTGTACGTGGACCGTATGTGGCCTGTATGGGTTCCCGTATGTGCAGAGATATATGGAGGTTGAGGAGTGACCCACATGTGTATGCAACACAACACAGGTTTTGACCTTCGAAATCGTGATGCTTTGAAGGGCCCTGCTGATTGTCCCGTCAAGGTTGGTGAGTGAAGATCAGAGTATATTATTGTCCTTTCTTTTGTGTGTGTGTGGGGGGGGGGGGGGGGCCCAGGTAGGGGCCAGTGGGGAAATGTTGGCAAGTGAAACTCTTAAGGGCCACGGTACGACCATAGCCACGAGTGTATGACCTGCTCGTGAAGACAGCACGAGTGCAAGGCATCGTTTTTCCTTTTAACAATATGGGCTTCAGCAATTTATCATTTTAATCTTGTCTCAATTTGACATTATCTGATGTATACCGTTCGCAGGATATGTTCAACAGGGGTTTTCTGTCCGAAGGTTCTTCTGAATTCCAAGTCTTTCAAGAATTTGGAAGAGTCCCTGGCCTGGAGCTTGCTTTTATCCGTCATTGTGAAACCCAGTTTACCAAGGTAAGCAGCCAACCAAGGTCTCCAGAGTAATTCTCAGCGAATCTCTCAGCAAATGTGAACCTGCAGCATGAGGTTAGGCTGGTTGGAAAACACGGTCAAATGGCTCTCCATCTGGTCAGTCTGTCAAATGTTGTCGAAGCTGTCCACCCTGCGAACAGCAGAGGAGGCGGAGGAGGAGGCGGAAAAAAACGGGAGGAGGAGGAAAAGAGGGGGCGGAGGAGGAGGAAAAGGGGAGGAGGAGGAGGAGGAGGAGCTGGAGGACAGGGAGGATGTGGAGGAGAGCATCGCAAATGTTGTCCAAGCTGTCCATCCCAATAAAAGATGTGGAGGAGTGGGAGAAGGAGGGGAAGGAGGAGGAGGAGGAGGAGCTGGAGGAGCTGGAGGACCAAGTGAATGTGAAGGAGGGTGTGTCAACCAATAAGAGATGTGGAAAAGCACAGGGAGAACGAGGAGGGGAGGAAGAGCCGGAGGATGGAGAGGATGTGGAGGGGAGGGGCGGAGAGGAGTGGGGGGGGGGGCAGGAAGACAGTTCAAAGGGCAAGAAAGAGGAAAAAACAAACAACTGGAGACGGAGATGTAGACTTGTTTCTTCATTTCTTCTGTTCTCTTCCTGATCCAAAGGAGAAGCAGAAACAGTGCCTACTCTACTGCTTGGTATTCCTATGTGTTCTGCCTGGAAATGTGAAAGGAGGTGTGTAATATCCCATGTGTGGATTGGGAGGTTGGGAGAAATGGGAAGAGCAGTTCTAAGGAACGGTTGTGGATGCTTAATATGGAACGATCAAGTCAGAGCCACAGTCCGTAGATGCGAAAAAGAGCCAAGATCAAGAGATTTGAAAAGAGCACATCACATAATTCAAGTCTGAAAAGAATGCTGTTGTCCATGTTTCTTCGGAAGATCTAATGAAGTTCTGCAACTTGTCAATCATTTTGGTGCGCATATCTGTGCTTTCCTTGCTGGCATCCTCATTCTTTGCATCCTGACTTGTCGCCCAAGTTTTCTCTCTTCTCTATCCCCACCTTACCTCCCTCTCTCAAAAACCTCCCTCTTCCCAATTCCGATCCGCTCCTTCCTCTCTCACTCTATCCGTTTCACATTGCAGAATGACAGGTTGGAGCTTGTCACGCCGGGATCTTTGCAGCATCTTGGTGACAACACTCTGGCATTCATCAAGTCAATGAGCTCCTCGTCTGAACTCTCCTTGCAACGGAACGCTTCTATAACAGACTCCAACACGGGAGCCTTTCATTCTAGACATCGCCCGGAAGCCATTTTCTTTGACTTGCTGGTGAGATCTTTGTTCCCCTTCCTTCATCGTAATTCTTTTGTGGTGAATTGAATGATTAGGATTTCACAAACAAAAAATGAACAGTGAGGTTAAGAGAAGAAAGCATGAATGGTCGCGCTACGAGGAGGGGAGGAGAGAAGAAGAAGAGGAAGAGGAACGGCTGAGCAACGGGGAGCAACAGAGTAGGAGGAGGAACATACATCCTTTAGGTACCTGCTGTCCATATCCTTGACTGTCATGATTATCTCTCCCTATAATTTCTTCTCGATAACATTTTTCAATTGTATGAAAAGGAGAGGAGTAAAGCTGGGATGTCGGTAGAACAATGACGAGTGTAATGAAGAAAAGAAGGCATCCCTACTCTGTGTGAATCCCCTCTTATAGGGGTCTATGATCGTCTGTCAATCTCTGCCATCCATCTGCCCATCTCTATGTCAGTGATGTGCAGCGGATACTACAACAAAGCGGATACTACAACAAATGGAAGTTTTGATCTTTCATGCCTTTCTCCTTCATTATGGCTCATATTCAGCTGAAAAGAGACTTCTCTTTAAGTGAGGATGGACTGTCAGTTCAAACGGCAGCAACGACCTATGGCATGATGTTACACAAGATGGCTAAAGGAGCCCCTCATTCAGTCTGATATCTGTTGTGTAGATGTGTCAGCCTCGCTGCCTCGGTCTCCCTGCCCCCCTCTCCCTGCATACCTCTTGGCGGGGGGAGGGGGGGGGAGGGGGAGCGGTGGATGCTTTAGTAGGGCCGTATATTTTCTTTCTCTTTTTATTTTTGAAAAAAGGGCGACAGGACGAGACTGTAATGTACTTCATGTTGTTTGTCTGGAATGAATTAGAAGAGTGTGGGAATTGGACATTCACATATACACACTCTGTTTTACCATGCAAGCGTCCGTGCTCGAGTTTTCTTTTCTCCTTTTTTTTTTTTTTTGTTTAACACAATCATGCCCCATCTTGGGGGGGGGGGGGGGGGGGGTCCAGCTGTTCATCATTGGCAAGCATATGAACAAATGAAAGAAACAGTTCAAGAGTTTCAAAGAAGAAAAAGACAAAGAACCCGAGGTAGGCACTGCAGCATTTGTGATCTGTCAGCTTCCCTCCTCTACTGTGCCGGAGTTTTCAGTTGCCAGCATCTGCAACTTGAAATGGTGTTCTGCAATCAGACTCGTTATCATTCACCCTTTTCATGCATGTAAACAGCAGCGCAGCAAACTGGCGACATGCGGCCAAACAAAACTCAGAGATATGGCTTCCAGATACGAGTTCACTCTCAACTGGCTATGGGGACTCAGCGCCCAAACAACTCACTGTTCACACACATTGGATCACCCTGGATATCCCACACGCGTCACTCTGAACACTCACACATACACACACACACTTCACACTAAACTACCGCTATGGCAGCTATGCCTGCCTGTACCCTATCGCTACACTAAGCTCCTTTTCTCTCGCCCACTGCGTCCTCCGGGCATACTGCAGACCTCCTTGCACAAGTCGCTGTGACAGCGCTTCCGCATGGCTCACGCAGGAATGAATGAAAGGGTGGGCGCTGCCTCTTGATTTATACTTTGGAAACTCTTTGGTCTGCCCTTTGCCATCGGCCCATGGTGCTCACAGTCCCCCGTGGTACTTGCTGGACTGGACTGGGACTGACTGGACCTTACCGCTGACTGACCGTGGACTCACTGCTATCCTACCGAGGTCGTACTGCGATTGCACTGCAGTTTAGTCCACCACTTGCCTCGCCACTTGCCCACTTGCCCACTTGCCTACCTTCTAGAAGGACTACAGCTAGACTTCTGGAACTCGCTAAGACTTCTACCCTATAGATCTACAGATCGAACCCTTGCTACCTATGGACCTATGACAGACCTACCAACTGTCTACGAATACACAGGTCACAGGTTCAACTCTCGGGTCTACACAGATACTGTACATGGGTAGGGTGAGGTCTAGGCATCGAGCCCTGGAATCTGCATCTGTTACTGCAAAGAGGTGAAAACTGTTTCACTCCCGCCATCCTAAATTCGAGGTCCTCCGAGAACATCTTAGTTCAAGGCGGGACCTTTACCTTTCCTGTCACGCTCATAGGCTCTGACTATGTCGGGAGCTGTTTCTAGAAGTTCTGTTCTTGTGAACCAGCGGTCGTCTTCCGGTTCCTGATAGGCAAACCGGACCTTATACTGCTTCTGGGGACGACCTCTACCTCCTGTTCTAAAGACATCTTCGTCTACAATACCGTCAATGTCATAGCTTCCATCCATATCCGGAGGGATCATGGATCTGCTTGAAGGGAACTGTTGACTTGTGACACACGGCAACAGCTTTGAAGCATGGAACACCGGATAGGTGTGTAGGTGTGCTGGAATCTCAATACTGTAGGACGGTCCATCCTCTCCGCCCTTGACTTCTAGAACCGGCCACGGTCCGCTATACGCAGGCAGTAACTTCTGCGAGATGTTCTCCTCAGGTGCAAACTCTTTAGCCTTGACCCAGACTAAGTCGCCTACCTGAAACTGCGACGGGCGGCGGTGCTTATTAGCTTGTTCTATCATTCTATGCTGAGGTTCTCTACAACTGTTGCTAGCTCTTTCTCGTGCTGTATCACAAACTCCCTGGTTCCGGGCGGTAGCCTGTGTATCTGATCCAGATTCAGTCCTTCGAATGGTCTGTGCGGCCTAAAGGACTTGTGCAGCTCATTGGGAGTGCGACAGGTGGACAAATGCACACTATTGTTGTATGCGCTAGCTATCTTGGGCAACATCTCATCCCAGTTGATCTGATCAGGTCTAATGTACATGCGCAGAGCTTGCTGTAGGATCTTGTTCATCTGTTCAGTTTGACCATTAGTCTCCGGATGGCGGCCAGACGACATTAGCAACTTAGATCCATAGACTCTCATGAGTTCTTGCCAGTTCTGGCTGGTGAAACGACTATCTCTATCGCTAACTATTGACAATGGGATTCCATTCTCACTAACCCAAAAGTCAAAAAACTTCTGTATTACTAAATTTGTGCGTGCCTCTGCCGGCAAAGGAACAAAAACTGCGTACTTACTAAATCGGTCAACTATGACCATGACTTGGCTCTTACCATGTCTGCTCTTGACTTGGGTGTCCATGAAGTTTATGGACACCGAGTCTCCCGGCTGATCCGGAATAGGCAAGGGTCTGAGAAGACCTAGGGGCACGCGTGTAGTAGACTTGTTCCTCTGGCACACTTCACAACTGCGGACATACTCTACGCAGTCATTCTTCATCCCTGGCCAGGTGTACACCGCATCAGATTGGCTAATGTCTTTTGCCAACCGAAATGTCCCTAGTATCGTGACATTCCCCTAAAATCAGACTGCGGATCTCCTCGCTGTTGGGAACGCACAGGCGGTCAAACACATTAGTCTTCTCAAACAGCAACCCGTCTGTAGTGCGGTAATCTGGTTCAGTCTCTGGGGCCTCTCTAACTTTCCTTAGGAGGTCGCTATAGATAGGGTCCTGCGCATACGCTTGCTTCACTTTCTCCTGCAGGTCTCTCCCTATATCCAAATAGTGTATTATGGCTCCAAAGTAGTCTGATCTCCTACTCAGAGCGTCCGCAACTACGTTGTACTTGCCCTTTACTGGCTTGAGCTCAAAGTCGTACTGGTCTATCTCAGCGGCCCACCTAGTTAGCTTAGGTGTCATCTTGGCCTGGGTCTTTAACCATCTAAGGGTCTCATGATCAAAATACACTTTGAAGTGCCTCCCAAGTAGGTAATGCTTCCAATGGTCTAGAGCCTGCCTGAGAGCGTAGAGTTCTCTCTCGTACGTCAAGGTGGCTACCTTTTCTGAGGGCATCCTCGCGGACATGAACTCTACAGGTCTATAGCCATGACCGTCATCCTGCTGCAACACGGCGCCTATCCCATATTGACTTGCGTCGGTGGTGACGACAAATGGCAAGGACGGATCAGCTACTTTGAGGACAAGATACTCTATTAATGTGCACTTTAACTTCTTGAGCGCGGACATACAGTCTTTGTCCCATTGCCAGATTGCCTCTTTCTTTAGCAACCTGCGCAAGGGAGCGGCGATAGTGGAGAAGTTCCTCACGAACTTTCTGTAGTAGTTAGCTAGGCCTAGGAACGACCGCAACTCAGTCAATGTGCGGGGCGTCGGCCAGTCTCTAATCGTCGCTATCTTGCTATCCTTTGGCTTAATGCCATCTCCGTCTAATACGTGGCCCAAGTACAGGACTTGTGTCTTGGCCCACTTGCACTTCTTCGCGTTGATCTTGAAGTTTGACTCCCTCAACTTCTCCAAAGACTTGCCTCAGATGACCCTGGTGCTCCTGGAGGGTCTTACTGAAAACTAAAATATCATCTAAATAAACTACTACAAACTTGTCTAACCATGGTCTAAACAGGTCATTCATACAACGCTGAAAAGTGCCTGGTGCGTTGGTTAGTCCAAAGGGCATCACTATGAACTCATAGTGCCCATAACGAGTCCGGAACGTAGTCTTGTACTAGTCATCAGGATGGACCTCTATCTGATGATAATCGGACTTCAGATCTATCTTGGAGAAGTACTGACAACCCTGCACCCGATCTAAAAGATCGTCTATCCTGGGCAGCGGCTCAACATTTTTCACGGTAATTGCATTCAAACCCCTATAGTCTATACACATTCTCAGCTCTCCTTCCTTCTTGGGGACAAACAAGACAGGTGCTCCAAAAGGAGACGAACTGGGCCTGATCCAACCTTTCTCGAGGAGTTCGTCTAACTGCTTGCGTAACTCCTCTAACTCTCTAGAGGACATCCTGTAGATTGCTCCCTTAGGAGTTCTACTGCCAGGCTCTATCTCTATCCGGTGCTGGATGGGTCGCGACACTACCACTGTCGGCGACTCAGTCAAGTCTTTGAACTCTTCCAGCAACTTGGCTATGGTTGGATCTGTGAAACTCACTCCTTCTTTAGCCTCAGTGACAGGTCTGACATAAACTACAAAGACCTGTTCTTCTAATCGCTCCTTCTTCACTAATCGCGCGAACGCGGGATCACTGAGACAACAATGTGCCAAGGTGTTGTCTACACCTGACACATGAAACAGGCGGGCAGTCTTAACCTCGCCTGATGGACTAGGGAGCCTACACCCATGCTCTCTCAAATGGAGTGTGGCCCCTGCTGCCTCTCCCTAATCCATTCCCAACACTACGTCGAAAGGAAGGTCATCCTGTACGAGGCGAGTCAAGGAATGGAGAACTTTCTCCACTTTCCCATCCTTCTCTAGGCGAAAGTACGCCTGGACTCCCTCTACATAGTCCTCAACACGCATTGTGCGGTTGTCTGCGAAGACACTGACTATGGGGTCTGCTAACTTTTGGACTTTTAATCCTAGCCTTAACTTTTTCAGCGCTCTGCGGCTAATATAACTGTCGGTGGCCCCTGAGTCTATAAGGGTCCCTACTCTATTCCTGAAAACTTCTACATCTACTAAGGTCAGCTGTCTTTTACTCTCTTTCTTCATCTTGGCCCAGGCTGGCATCCTCTCCTTTAACTCTTCTGCCACACATGTGAGGGACGTGCCTAAAGAGATGCTAACACAAGCAGTCTCTGGACAGCTAGCTAGGCACGGACCTGCAACCTCTGCCATAGGCTCATGTGGGTTGGGAGTGTCCTGTTCGCGCGCGCTCAGTTCTCCACATGGCCTTGAAGTAGGGGCAGTTGCGACCCCTACTGGCGGCTGCCTTTTGACTGATGGGCAGCCCAACGGGCCTGTCTATACTTTGGACAAAATTTAATTACGTGGGCCGGGTCACCACAAAATATGCACTGACCCTGGTCTACGCGTTCTTGCCATAAACGTTGGTCCAAGCCCAAGTCCTCCCATGGCCTGCCCTGTGGCAAGCCTGGGTGCCATCCTCCTTGAGGTGGCCTTCCACCTCGTCGCTGTGCGGACCGATTACCCTGGCGATTTGGCGGGGGACCTTGACCCCTACCTCCCACTTGGCGGTTTCCTTGACCGCCAACCCCCTGTGCGCCCGGTCCTTGGCCTCCCATGGCCTGGCCCCCTTGGCCCTGGCCTCCTCCTCTACCTTGCGGCCTCCCTCCGGCCGCGACAGAAGCATAAGACCTCCCCTGTCCCAGACTACTGTCCTCCTCCTCTAGGCCCTACTCAATCTGACTATATGGGACCTCATCAGTACCACCTTCTTCTAAGGTAAGGATCATGTGATCCTTGCCCCTCACCTGGCCTGAGATGGTACGACCCTTCCACCTTTTTTCCTTATCCAGGTCCTTATGCCAGAAGGTGGTAACTGGCATGGACCTCGACTCATATAGGATGACTTCTCTACTCAATGCATCATAAGTGATGCCGGCCTGTTGAGACTTGTCAAAGAAATGCCCACATAGGGCCTCTGGCATGGCACGATAAAATAACTGAGCCAACTGGGGCTCAGTGACCCCATGGTCTGGGACGACTACCAAGTCATCCATTGTACCCTTGAGTGCCCGTGCACTCCTCCACTGTCATGAGTGGATTGTTTGTAGCTTATCAGAGGCGCGAACACTTCTCGTTGGGTCAGCGAACCGCTCCTTCAGGAGCTTAAGGAACTGAGGAAGGGGGGTGACTTTGGAGTAAGCAACCAGGTTGTTCTCACAACCGGCTGCGCGCGCAAGGGACCTAGCAAAACTGGCCGCTTCATCTTTGAGGGCCTGGAAAGCGACGAGGACTTGCTCCTCAATCAGGATGTGTTGTAGATATATGTAACTGTTGACACTGGTCTCCCAGTTGTCAAAGTTTTCCTCCTTTCCCCCGTACGCATCTGGGAACTTGAGCTTTACAGGCTCTTTACGGGGTCTAGCCTCGCCCTCTACAGTGGCTATTGCTTTGGCGCCCTCGATAGCGCCCTCACAAAATTTCCCTACGTTGTCCCTGAGTTGTCTGACTTCGCCCCCAATGTGAGTGACGATCTCGCGCGCAAAGTCTTTGAACCCCGACAGCATGGCACTCAACGCTACGTCTTGGCTCCAACTGGCCTGGCGCTCCTCCATCCAGGCGTTGCTCAGCACCTCTAGGTAGCCCAACACCTTATCCCACTTGGGCTTGTCATCTGGCTGGGCCAACACTTCCTTCCTACATTCCTGCACCTTTGCCACCTCTGCGGTCAGTTTGCTCACTTCCTCTCTCCTCCTCTTTTTCTCCCTCTTCATCCTTAACTTTCACGCCAACTTCTGTTCCTCCTCCCTTTCTCGTCGTTCGATAGGGTCTGTCATTGCTGCTAGCTCACTGGCTAGTGCATCCCTCTCATCTTGAGTCACATAGGACTCTGCCTCCTCGTCTTCTCCCAACGATAAATTAGCGACCCACTCGCTTATCTTCTTCTCAATCTCAACATTTGTATCCCTCTTCATCGTGCCACTGCTCCCTTCTCCACTCTCAATCCTCATTCTCTCTTTTTCTTCTTCTGCTGCCGCTTCTTCTTCAACAGCCTTCTTCTTTTTCTCCATCTCCTCCTCCAATTCCTTCATCTTTGCCGCATGTTCCTCTGCAATCGCCTTTAACTATGCTTGCTTCTCGCGCTCTTTTCTCTCCCTATTCTCCTTAACTAAGGCGGCCATCTTTTCTTGTTGCTCCTTGGTGTAGGGGCTAGTGTCCTTCCCACTGCGGGTCTCAACCATGGTGAAAAGTGCACAACCGGGTGGCGGTTCCAAACCTCACCACGTCGACTCTAACCCCTGACTGACAAACCTATTGACTCGATCTAAGGACTTACAGAATCCTGACAGGGATCCTGTCAACTATGGTCTCTAGCCTAGACCTAACTATGGCTGTCACTACTAGACCTTTGCTGATCAGGAGGCATTTAAGGAGATCACCCGAACTCCTCAGGAATTATTTAACGTCGCAAACAGGACGACGCGATCAGCAGGTCTCTCAAGACTTAGACGGTCTGTTGTACAGCCCACAGCTCGGATTTCGAGGCCTACCGTGCCAAACCGAGCAGCCCGCCGGTCAGTACCGGTCCTTGGGAGGGTTTGACCTCCGCGACAGTCGAGTCGTCAGACACAACTTTTAGCCCTACTCATCCCGTGTGAGTTTGGTCAACGAGACCCTATCCTTCATCCACAGAGTACTATCACTTAGGACATAAGAGACTCAATGAAGAAAGAATAGACAGACAGACTGGACTCAGCAAGTACCAAGGGGTGTGTGCACATCCATAGGGCAAGGGATAGGCTGAGGGCTTGGCGAGATGTTACCAACTCCAACTTGGTCAAAGTCTTGGTCAACATCGTGGTCAACGCTGCGGTCAACCCTCGGTCAACCCCCGGTCAACTCCGGTAAATGCCGGTCAACACCTCCGGTCAACCCTCTTGGTCAACCCTCCGGTCAGCTATGGTCGCCAGCTCCTCTTCCTCGCCAACCCCCTTCTTC